CGTCACGGCGCCGGGCGGGGCCGCTCCGCACCACAGCAGGGACCTCCGCTCCCCGCTGCCGGGGGCGTGGAGGGGAGGCGGCAAAGACCATCCCCGCTTTTTACTCCTCTTTACAGAGTTTCCGTTTTAAAACCCGCTCAAAAGCGCGCACCGGGAAAAGAAAGTATCAGAAAAATACGACAGCGTTTCTCTGTTGCCACAGAATTTATTAGTTACAAATCCATGGTGTAGCTTGCTGAACTTCAGTGGACGAAGCACCGCACAGGGTTTATGCTTCAGCCTTGGCCTTTGCAGGGGTCTGGGCTGCGGCCTCTGCCTTGGGCTCAGCCGGGACCTTGGCCGCAAGCTTGGCCTTGGCCTTTGCTTTCTTCTCTTCCTTGAGTTTATGCTAAAAAAGAAAAAAAGATCGTCAGCGTACACTCTGAAGTACTAAACCCACTTTGGCCTATTACCAGCTTCCACGCTCACTCACGTTTTGCGCGTGGCGCAGAATGGTGTTGCGTCGCATTGTTTTGGCATACGGGTTCAACTTGATCATGATTCTCAGATTCTTCAGTGGATTCTTCTTCAGGACTCTACGGCGAATCTTTTTCCTGAAAAGAACATACGTGTTATCACGATCTCGTTTCACAGTCCAAGTTCTGCTAAATTTTCCCCGAAATCCAGGGAAGCGTAACTCCTAGCACTGATACCCAGAAACTAAACAAATCCCAGCCCTATCCGACATCCCAATGCTGAGAGTTTTCTGATCTCACTACAGAGCCTCGCACTTGGCAATTTCTAAAGAGATTCCACTTCGCGTTCATGAGATAGATAAAAGTTATTACTTCGGAGCACGCAGCGCCTTCTGGATCTCCTGGCTTCTCATGATTCTTCCAATGTCTGTATTGGTCATCTTATGCATTGGCAGGCTGTGAAACAAACGTTCATAGGGTAAGCTGGATGATAAAAACACGGCTAGCTCAATGAAAACAGGTATTTCGGGAAAAGTACTGGTTTTCCAGTTTTCCACCTCCAAACAGAAGAACCCGTGACACTAAGAGGTTATTCTCCCAAGCCTGTTTTACCCCGTCCAGTTGCGTCCAATGTTGGCTGTGCTTACTTGTAGTCGCTCTTCAGCGTCGCGGCTTTGCGCCAGGTGCCGTACAAGTCATCCAGCTTGCGGAAAGCGCTTTCCGTCCAAATGCAGAAACGCCCAACGTGGCCACCGGGAGCAAGTCTCAGCAGGTTCAGCTTGTTCACGTCAAGAAGAGTAATTCCTGTAGAAAAACAGACAAACCAATCCTTTTCCTTTGTAATTAAAGTCAAGGAACACGAGACTAAGAAACAATCAGATGAGAAAGTACACAGGAACAGACGTGGGCTTATTAGCCCACACTACACTACACTACAGACTAGTGTAGTGTACTACCACTACTTTACACTACAGAGTTACATACACCTATGTGTGAAAATCTGCTAAATTCTTGAAAATAGTAACAATCAGCCTTCTTCCAGCAACAAGCTTGACAGTCTCATTTTTAACTGCTCCAAATGCAGTTTGTGATTGGTGACAGCCATAAAATTTGTCATAAACATCCTCAACATCACCAAAACAGATTCTTAGAAAGAACGAATTACCTACTTCAGCAAGTCAGAACTTCCACAAAATCATGTGTTTCAGAAACACGGACCAATGAAGTGGAATCTCATCATTCTAGGCAGTCTCTCAATAAAAGAGTAAGCGTGCCCCCAGTTAAAATTACCTGGGATATTCCGGAAAGCTCGAATGATACCATTGTCCTCGTTGTAGATGATGCAGGGTCCCCTGCGCTGGATGCGACGGCGATTCCTCATTTTACCCTTTCCAGCCCGCATACGCTGGGAGGCATAAACCTACATAAAAATGAAACTTGTGAATATTCAAAATAGTCCAAATCCCATTAGTAAGACACAATAAAACTGCTTTAGTCAGAACTTCACAATCATCACTGTTTATCCGAAACACGGACCAGTGAGAAGTTCATCATTCTTAAGAGAGTAAAAAAAAAAAAGCTATTAACATCATGCAACACTGAAATGAAGACAACGAAATACAGAGTAAACCAGCACAGTAAGGAATTTACTTTGCTTAAACTCTTTTTTACAGTTTCTTGTATTTTTGTTACCAAGGGATTTCTAGCGGCATCAAATCAGAACAGAACTATTTGGAATTCCTGATATAACAATGGCAGAGTCGAATCGCCTGGGTTTCGCTCTTAAGAACATACCTTTGCAACTCACCTTTTTGATGTCATTCCAAGCTTTAAGCTTCTTAAGAAGGAGGACAGCTTCCTTGGTTTTCTTATAACTCTCAACTTTGTCCTCAACAACCAGAGGAAGTTCTGGAATCTCCTCAATGCGGTGGCCTAGTGAGGATTTTACAAGACACGAAGTTACCCACTGATCTTGGCCGTACGCATTTCTCAAGGTTATTGCCTTGTGTATTCAGAAACGATACAAAATGATGAACGGTGGAAATTAGATTCATGATCTAATATTCAGGCACAGTAACTACAGTAGTGAAGTTTCCATGGAGTCTTGTGGGTCTGCCTCAAGACAGTACTTCCTGCACCCGAGTAAGTACTAAGCAAATCTTTGGCTTCCACAAACAGAAATTAAACTGAACTGCCATGCCATTCAAAATTCAGTTTGTTTCCATAAACTGCACGGACAAGATTCGGCGTCGGCAACGCACACAAAAGCGCCTCAGCATCACCTAACTTCCAACACCGCATAACCGCAAAGTGCCTGCCCGAGTTGTACATAACACGAACACCCCCTCACTGAAGAACGGACTGCCTCAATCTCTTTAAAAGAGAATTTAGTTATCCACAATGAACATTGAATCATCACATAGTAACCGATACTGCTCAGGCAATGTAAAACTGCAGGCAAACACTTCCAGAGACAGAATTCCCACCTTTAGACATGACCAGCGCTGGAAGAGCAGACGCTGCCAGAGCAGAACAGATGGCATAACGCTTTTGAGTTGTATTCACTCTACGGTGCCAGCGCCGCCAAGTCTTGGTTGGGGCAAACATGCGACCTCCGCGACACATCTATGCATCGACAGTTAAGAAGAACCTTTTTGAAGCTTCTTTTTCTAGTCTAACTCTTTAATCCTTGCTCAGTGTTAATTGTTCGTCAACCATCTGTACCAGTACACTGACAGCAGGCAACTGTCACTGAGCACAGAGTAAGACGCAAATTACGACATCATGGCAAGATGGTATGCATCATGAGATTCAAGATATCCACCGCTATTGCAGTGGGAAAAAAAAAAGCAATGAAAGCTTCTGTTCATTAAAGCAAGTCTGAATTTGCATACAGAAGGTTCTAATCACATTACAAATTTCTCGAACTCGGTGGTCCAGATCACTGTAGGTAGCCGTTACCTTAAGAAGTAGAAGACTCCATTTCACATTTAGATACTTAAAAATAATTTTTCTGCTTGATGAGTTCAGCTTTACACCTGATGCAAGCAGCAGCTATGAAAGGATACATTTCCAAAGGCACCCTGGCCGGAGCGGTGAGTTCCACCGCCTCGTACTCGAGGAATACGAGCAACGGCTCTCCCAGTACCCCAAGATTCGGCACTGGTCTGATGACCTGGAACGGAAAGATTTTAATTCAGAGAGTGACAACACTGCAATTTTCATAAAGTCACTGATAGGCAGAATTCAGGACCACCAATCAGAACTTCCACTGTTATCATGTGTTTCAGAAACACGGACCAATGAAGTGGAATCTCATCATTTCAGCAAAACAAATCCTCATCAGGTTAATTAACTCTTACCGCATTAAAGATCTGCTTAGGTCAGAATCAAGTACATTAACATACTGATTTCTAAGCTTGATCCTCAATTTGGAGGTCTGAACTGGCACTGCTGTTCCTAGTGGGTTAACAGGTTTATGTGAAACACCATCAGAAATAAACTTGAAAATGCATGTTCCTGGCACAAATTTCTTGGGAAGCAGCAGCTGTTTGCACCCAGCAGCTTCTGAAGCAACTCTAACAAATGCCCATTTGCACAGGTTTCTTCTTGGCAAATGCCTCAGATAAGTCTCCTGTGGTCAACGTGGAGCAGGGATTACAAAGCGTGGTTTTTCATCACAGTTTTCTGCCTGATACACTGTCAGATGTTTTGTGTTCTTATTGCAAAGAATGCAGATTCCGCTCGGGGACCTAGGCGCCACAATGCTTTCAGTAACAGACATTTCAGGTAAGACCCCAGAGTACTCCAAGACTTTTACAACACCTCGCTGTTCTTCAGAATAATAAAAAGTTGCATTTCATACAATTTAAAATCAGATTGTTAATAACCAGAACAGTTGCCTTGCCTTCTACACAGAATACCACTGAACAGCTCTTCTCTTATCTCAATTCTAAATTTGTTTCAACTTTATCCCACCTGCATTAAAGTCAAAGGCTAATACAAGTAGTTCTGTCCATTGTGTGGTGTAGCCATACCTGCAAGTTCACTGACAGCGTAGGGCTGCCTGTTGTTCTTGCGCAAATTGGTGTGAACGAAGTTCACAATGTCAGGGCGAATGGGAGCCTTGAACACAGCAGGCAAGGTGACATTTTTGCCTGATGCTTCCCCCTTCTCAGAGTAGACAGATATTAATGGTCGAGCGCAAGCCTGAAAAAAAAAGGAAAAAAAATCTTAAGGACAAGTAAAGTAACTTGCTAGTATTCAAATCCATCAAATATTGCTCAGAATGAAGGGGTCTTCAGTTCAACAGTGCCAGCACGCTGACAGCAGGCAACTGTCACTGAACACTGGATAAGACGCAAATTACATCATCATAGCAATAATTTTCACTTAAAATAGCGCTCCACAGAACAATCCGCATTTGGAAAACTATACCTGAGGTTTCAAATGCAATAGATTTCCAAGTCATTTGGGTAAAATTCATCTAGAATTGAATCTCTGTGCTCTTTAGTAACACTTTCTAAACTACTTCCCATCTACTATTAAAAAAGCCTATATAAAACCCACCTACGTTTATTCAGTTTACCAAAAGCTTGTTATTTAGATTATGTTTAACAGTTAAAATCAACCAATTTCCCTAATCTAGAAACTCACAATGATTACAAGCAAGCAAACTTAGTATCAGAGTTTATTTTTCGTAAAGTCTGGGCCCTCTGAACAATCCCTTGTGCCTCAAAATTTGTGAGGTGAAAAATTCAACTGCTAGCAGCACCAGCTTCCTTTCAAAAAACTGAAAAGATGTCAAATAATAGCTTGCTGGTCTGAACAGCACCCTTTAAAAAAGAATCTTCTAGCACTATACTGTATTTGTCGTTAAATTAAGAGCTCATGGCAGTAATACAAGCAAAGTATCTTCCTCCCCTTTCCCATCCACAATTCATTTCAGAGATATTAAAAATACTACAAAACTCAAAACTAACCAACCAACAGCAATGAAAGTACTATCTGTATTTTTAACGCTGGTTACTAGCAAGGCACTGACCCCTAGAGTTAGTGCAGAGACTCCAGCACAAGCACGGAACAAACTTGATCAGGGTGAAGGAACCAGACCAGAGTCTGAATTGTAGTAGCAAGAAAAGTTATTAATTTGCAACCCAGTTTCAGACCAAGGCCTTTTAAAGCCTGTTTCAGAATAACAAACAAAAAAAGAGTTTAAAAAAAAAATTAAAATGGGTGTTACAGAAATCGTTCTTGTAACTCAACGTAAGCTCAAGAGCGCCCGTGTGGTTTTGTTTTGCTTTAGGGAAATACGCGAGAAAAGTAAAAAAGCCCTGCCAGAAGGCGATGCGGGCCCCATCTCCCACTGTGCCTGAGGAAAGGGCTACTTCCAGC